TACTACTACTACTACTACACCACGACTATTACGACTACTATTACGACTGTTCTTACTGACCCCAGACCCGGCCAGAAATTCGTTATTGCGACCCAAAGACCCCAGACCTGACCCGAGAGCCCCGCCGGCAAAACAACTTCGATTGGGGGAGTATATTCATCAGACCCAAACCAGTACTACTTTGCTGAAGGTGTGATCCATTTCTCACAGGTGGACACTGTACCTTCTGAGCACCATCACGAGCACGCCCTTGTGGCACACCGCGGAAATGAAAGCTCTTCATCCAATCGAGCTCCAGCTATGATAACACGAGGGGTGTTCTGTAGCAGCTTCACACAGAGTAGCTGCATGACATGGGTTCTCGGCCAGCGTGCCTGTGCCTGCAGAAGTACAGGCATGTGGCGGACTCAAGCACTGTCGAAGTGCCGGCGAGGCGTCATTCAGCTTTGGTTGGATCTATCGGCCACCGTCTTTCCTCAGAATTCTGAGTTTGCGCAGATGCCGTGGACTGCAGACGCTACTGTCCACTCCCATACTGTTCAATCCATCACATGCCATCAGTACACCAGCATGCACAAGCACTACATTGTAGCTTGAGTGTCGAGGCAATCTACATCTCTCTTCTTCGGCTAAAAGAGAGCAGCCGACTCCTTGCGCTTCCACCCCCGAAGAATTCGGACAGTGGTTGGGCTGCACACATCGGAAGGACGGAGAAGAGAAATGGCGGAGTGTGAAGCAGGTCACTAACATCGACAGTCAATGTCCAACGCGAAAGCTTGTCCACTCGAGTACACTCCCTCTGTAGCTCACTGAAAAACCCGACACCCCGCCTCACTGGAGCCACCTACGTGCCTGGCCTTCCCGAAGCAGGGCGGGCACTCGCACAGTCTCGCTGTATTTATTTCTGTTGGGCGTAGGGGCTACTGAGGCTACTGTCGCAGCCCTCAGGCCTCTTCTTTCTCCGTCTCTCTCCCGTACACACACGCAAGCATTGGATAGCAAACTTCAACAAGAAGGACATGCCAAACAACAGTTCTTCTCAATGACGCACAGCTTCTGCAAAGGTGACCAGGCGTTTGACCATTTGCACATACTTCCGAGTCGTCTCATCCTCAGTCATCAGCGGAAATATTCGAGTGGGGTTGTTGCGAGCTTGCATTCCTCAAGTCTGGGTCTGCGGCATCCAGAACATGTGCTTGTGCACCCTCTCCGATCTTGTGACGGTTTGCTCGGTCATGGAATGTCACGAATGTTACCTCCGACGGGCGCTTTTGGAACGCGTAACGGTCGCCTTCCTCCCGCTATCCCCGAAACTGCACTGCAAATGGGAGCGGTGCGCCCATGGGCCATGGATGGTTGCCGATTGCCAACCGCATGTATGCCTCGAGACACGGTCAGAGGTGCAAACCCCATTCGCTCGCCAAGTGTCTGAGAGCAGCCCATGACGCAAGTCAAAATATCGGGTGGTTCCAGCAGTACTGAATTACAACCATGATCGCATCATGCTGAGCATGCTTCACGCAATGATGACTTTAACACGTCGGATACATAAAGAATTCCAGCATTTATCCTGTAAGCTTCCCCAAACCTCCTTGGCAGCTCGATAGCTTCGGTTTCCACCTTCGAAGCATGTCGCACAATGTCGACGGCTGCAAGCCAATCTTGTCTGTGTTGCGCACACCAGCAGCCCTACTCGCTGCAATGCCCAAGTCTCGCACATTGCTCAGCAATCTCTGCCAAAGAGAAGGTGACACCGGCATCCACTTCTCCATCCTGGACTAGTGCAACACGAAAGTTGCAGAAAGAGCGCAAATTACTTCATCAAGCCTTGATTCAGCTAAAGATATAGTAGGGGCCACATCGAAGCAAACCCAAGCGGACACATCAGTTTCGCTTTTCGCAGACAGATCTCAGGCAACTGTCGACGGTAAGGCATCAGTTGATGAGCGCTGTAACTGTAAACCTGAATCCATGCAGCTGGGTGCTTCACTCGTAAGGCCCGGCGCAAGGGCTTCAAGTATTGTTTCCTGAGGGAAACAAGCTCTTTTCACTCGAGTTCACTCCGGGAGTTTCTCAGCGCATTGGCAGGTCCCAGCTGATTCTTCACTAGGGCCACGGCGACTGCCGGTATTGTGCCTGAAACACAAAAAAGCTCACCCACTGACTGCCTTTCGCCGCATGTCTCAGGGCTCGGGTTCGCCCGCCTTCTCCAGTTTGAACGTTTGCTGCTTCTCCTGGTTTGATATGCTTGCCCAGTGGAAGCTGCATGCCGTCAACCACCCAGCTTGCGCACGCAGCAGAATGAGGGTACGCTTGCATCCGGCAGAACTTTGGGGGCTACTGTACCAGTTCTTCCAGTCCGAGCACCTACATATCGCTGCATCAAAACCCCCGCGAAGGCCCGTGGAGAACTGTGTCCCGGCTGTGGCCTCTGCGCGGGTCAGGGATAATCGCAGATGCATTCGTAGCACCGTGCGAGAGCACGGAAGCTGTACACTTTCAGATGTCGCTCTGGACACATGCTACAGGCAGGAAAAAGACAACCTCCTGAGAAGCTCAGGTCTTGTTGCGAATTATTCGAATTATATTCGGGTCCACACTGCCGTCGTTGCAGTCAGAGTCACAGACCGAATAAGTTGCTGAAGACGTAGCTCAAGGCCATCAAGGCTAGAAATTCCGCTCGACGTGGGGAAGAGTAGCGGCTCGCAGCGGACATGGGGCTTCCAATCCTGGCTCCAAGAGCGCCAACACAGGCAACCGCCACAAGGAGGCTCAGCCTTGCCGGCCAGACGTGGTCTTTCCGAAGCTGAGGTCCCAGCATGACTGCCTTTGGAGGCGTTGTGGTTTCCTCCTTTGGGTGCACAGAATGACTAGTATTCCTGGGGCCCTTTCAAACGATCAGGACATGAAATCAGGTGTCCTCCATCGTCGCAGGTATATGGCTCCCTGCATCTGTTGCACCATCATTTTATAAGGTTTCCAAAGATGGTTTTACATCAAGATTCGGCAATTGTCTGCAAGAGTTGTTCTTGGTGTCCCGTAGCACTACCACATGCTTCACCTCACTCACTGAGTAGGCGAGTGGTTAGACAAGGCTCGCGTGCTTATTTTGCACTCAGTAAACTCAAGGCCTTCTGAGATCTCGCCGCTCTCTGTCCTCGCGGCAGACGCAGAGTGGGCGGTTTCAAGTCTTCCAACTGTGGACATAAGTCGCGAGTACCATGACTGCAGCAAAGGTGATGTGAAGCCCGTGGGCATCCCTGCAAAGCCGTGCAAGCATGGCAATCCTCGTTGAACAGGATGGATGAGCTTTGGGATCCTGACGGACAGATAGGTTGGGCAAGTAAAGCCCATCGCAATCAAAGTGCTCAGTCTTAGCCGCTAAGGCCAAGGACAGAAAGAAACAGCCCTACCCGGAACTTCGCAGACAAGCGATCCAGCTTGGAACGGCCAGCCTGCTGTCGATGACTTGTTGCTGCCGAGAATCCCTGCTGCAAGGTATGCAGACACCGGGCAGTTGTGCGCCAACTGCCACTGACCAGGTCCCAGCAGGACACGGCCTTGCATGTTCAGAATTTGAAACACCAACGCAGTACCAACACATTACCAGTAGGTTTTTTTGCCAAGCCATAGGCCCACCTGCCCCCAAAGTCATGCAGCACCATGCATTCCTGTGCAACCTACTACCCATTGTGCGCCGATGCGGCCCAAAGACCAGTCACAAGTCTTCTCGTGGATGACCACAGTTCATGGATTTGGAGTTTTGCGGAAAGGTTGAATTGTCCACTGATGGTCCCGACGACATGGAGACCCGAGCACCTACACAAAGTGTCCAGGCGAGAAAGGAATTCCTTATTTAGTGTATTTCTGCTTGGGCACTTGTTCCTGTTTCTCGAAGATGCCCCGGTTTTTGGATCTGGCCAGTCGGAGAGATGCTGTGAGCAGTCGATTGCGGGCAAGCAGCCATTGAGAGCGATGGAGGGGAGGGCAGGAGAACCACAATTTCGAGGCTCCGGACAAGAATTCCAGCTCTCCCTGGTTCACATCGCTCGAGTGCTTCGGCTGAGTCAGTTCCCCCGACAGGACAACGGAACACTTTCAATTTTTCTGTGTCTTTCCATTTCGTTCTAGGTCTCTTCCGCCATGCTCTGAACACCATGAAACAGAACTGCCAACTTCCGAACAAGGTGATTCCATTTTTGACGAAGCCGCGTGCACGAATCGCTGCTGGTAAGCCCTGCCTGTCACAACAGGCAGGAATGCGGGACTGCTTAATAGCGGGCTCTGTCACATCGAGCGGACAAGCGAAAACGCCTGAGAGCTGTAGCGTCCGGCACCGCACTGCTTGCAAGCCTCGGCTTCCACAACGCATTCCTGCACATGAAAGCAGGCAACAGCTGAGGCTCGGCTCGCAAGGGTCCAGCTGAATCACATCTGAGGTGTTGTCGCAATGTGGCCCATCGGCAGCAAAGCGGAAGAGACTAGATGAGCCTTCATTGCTTGTCTTGTTTACCACCGGCTGCTTCTTCCAAGCAGCTCTGAAGCCCGTCTGGTTCCGCAGGTCGTTCCATGTGCCAGGTGGGCACTGTATGCACTGTGCACCATCACGATAGTGTCCTGTGCCGCAAAAGTTTGAAGAGAACGGCTTGCGCTTTTGTTACAGCGTGAGGAACTTCGAAAACTCCGCTCACCCAGCCGACTGCGGCCTGTCGGACATGCACGAGGGGTGTGCTGCGGAGGCTTGCCGCAGCTCCAAGTCTCGTGGTGCTGAGGCTGTGCCTTGAATTCTTGGCAAAACCATGCCCCATGAGCACGCGGATTCTGAACAGTTGCGATTCCTTCAGTGTAGCCCGCAGCCCAAGCTCCAGTGACTGCTGCAGAGCTGCGCTAGTCCAGTACAGGGCCCAAGCACGCGTGAGGCCGTCATCCATGCTCTCTTGCCGCACTTGCAGCAGAAGCTCCTCAGCTGCCCCGGAGTCCCGGAGCGTCGACACTTGAGAAGAGGCCACGAAAGCTAGGGCAAAAAAAGAAACCAGAGTCGACAGAGCTCGGGCAGCATGTATGCAAGCTGTCATGCCATGAAGCTTAAGACTAAAGCCTTCAAGATGAGAGCATTAGTCTGCTTTACAAGTTACTAATTACTGCGGGGTCAGACGTGAAACCTGCGACGTAGACGCACGCGGCCACGTAAGCACAAAACGCAAGTTGCCATGTAGCTTAAACAGATGAACCATGACGGACCTTGAGGTGCGGGGGGACCAAAGGAGGGGAAGTGGGTGGACCCCCCCCCCACCCGACCTAATGCGACATTGGTGTGACCTTGTGGTAGGGGTCCGTGTTGGCTCTAAATCAATCATTTGAATGAACCATGTGTGTGGTGGCGCAGAGGGGTGGCCTCCCCCGGCTTCCCCCGCCTTTAACTATTGTGAAAGGACCAGATAAAGTCCTGCAATTTTGACTTAGTTCTCTAATACCTAAGTATATGGTAACGACAACTCCCGCAAGCTCCACAGAGCTAGCTTTCGTGACATGTCGGACATGTCGAGACACACGAGCTGACACGAGCTGAATTTCGTCAGGTTTCCAGTGCTTTGTTGGGGTCAAACATCGCAAGACCACCAGTGAGCAGCACTGGTGTCCAGGGATCGGCCGGTGAAAGAGGCAAGTGGCAAAGGATTTCACTCCTGAGCAAGCACTGCAAAGAGTTGCATGTAGTGCCATCTGGCGCCTGATTCCTCAACTAAGGTTCCATTCAAGCTGGCTGAAGGTCGGCGTCCGAGCTAGCAGCAGTGCAGGAGAAAGCGGGATCATCTGGATTCCGTGTATGTACCTTTCTATTGTTCGCGGCAACAGCTTCACGCCTAAGACTTGACTTGAAACCTGCGACCAGCTCACAACAATCTGCGGCTGCCGCCGAAAGATGCTGAAAGGCTAAATGAACTGCTGCTTGTGCCGGGTGGCTCAAACTTATTGCCGAAGTAAGTCGCGTATTGTGCCTTGTTCTGGAGGAGCATGCCCGGTGCTCGGTTCCTGGCCTGGGACAAACTCAGAGGAAGCATTCATGCGTAGGATTAGGTGTGTTTCGCCGGGCTGCATAGTCTTGTGGATGGTGCGGGTTGTTCTTCCCCATCAAGAAGAACTCCTGCACCGTCGTGGTTGCCAGAGCCAACCTTTGATCGTGGCTCAAGTGCGTAAGGATCAACAGGCTGCTGACGTTCAATTATGGTCCTTACATGTCCTTACCTTCAGCAGCTTCTCCGCAACTCGCACGCGCATCCGGCAATCAACAAGAGACAGCCAAGCCACATCGTAGCGCCCAGCTGCTGCAAATTATCGTTGCCCATCTCCCTGCCCCAAAGGTAGATACCGTAATGCAAATTGAGCTCCTCCTTGGTACGAGTAACAACTAGCGGCGAGGCCGGTGAAATTAGGCAAGGTGTTTCGCTCTCGCAATCACTTGCTTCGGCAGTTTTCTTTTCCCAGCTCACGCTGCCACTGTCACTATGGCCCCGAAGACCTTGAACCCCGAAGTCCTGAAATCTAGGCCGAAGCCAGCGAGGTCTTCACAATGCAGGTTGACAACAGTCCGCCTGCCGGGTTCATCATGTTGTCTTGTTTCAAGGCTGACTTAAGGGCTGCGCCAGGTGCGGGCAGCGCAAGCCGCCAGCACACCCGGGATCTTTCCCAGAAATGGTCACGGCTATGTAGGCAAACACGATAAGGACCGCATCATGAGCATCAGAGGGGGGCCCCGTGCTAGGGCATGGCTGCACTGTGCCGTCCAAAAACATGCCCGCAACGTGGCACGGAACATGTGCGCATTTCGCGGCCATTGTCGGCCATCCCCCAGCTAATTTCGAGTTTCGCGTTCGTGTTGGCCATGCTGCGAAGGCGCGCATCGCGAGAGCGGGACCCCCGCAACGCGGCATCCGCGTATGCCGCGTTACAAAGGCTTCGCCATGCTTCGCCTTTGGAGCTCGCAGCGAGCTCTTGACGGCCTGCAGATGCCTGCGGCCTGGGCAGAAAGGGCCCGCCGCGCTGCCAGTCATCACGCGAGCTTGCGCATGTAAGTGAGAGGGCATGCTTGCGAACGATTTTGGATACTGGGGCCATCTGCGGCGTACTCTCGCCTTCGGTGCAAGCAGATTACTTTCTGATGTTTTGCAACTTCACCATACTTCACCACAGTTGGACATAGGCGCATCATGCGCATCTGATGGCAGTATATGGTAGGAAAACGTAGCTAGCTTGTGTCATTCTGCATTACGAAGTTGGCAAACATCAACTCCGTGGTGAACCCCTGCTAAAGCGCAAGCCCAGTTTCCGATGTTGACTCTTCGTCTTTGCCATCGGGATTGGGAGCAAGTCCCCGGCTCCAGGAATGTAAGTCGAACCAGTCGAAACTGCCAATGTCAAGGATGACTTGCAACTGCAGCTACTACATCACGAGAAAGGTCAAACCCTGCCAGTCAGGTCTCAGGTCTCTTGGTGTGCTGCTCGAGGCACGATCTGAAGCGCGGAAAGAAAAGATCATCCCGGCTGGGGTTGGACGTGTCTCGAATCAGCCCGCTCACCTGGAGGAGATTTGTGACATGTACTCCTGCAGGAGTAAAAACCAGGAGCTACTACACTCAGGCCACACATGAACAGCATTAGTGAGTAGAGTCGCGAAATCCACAAAGCCAGAATTGTCTTTCCACTCCGGCTGCAGTTTGACTAGAACTGCTGCGGCCACGACGAAGTATCCAAAGTGGTAGTGGTGGTCGTTGTAGCAGGAATTCCCAAAGTCCGCAAGCAGGCAGTGCAAGACCTGATGAAACGGCTGACTGCTGTCACACGATGTAAGTCCATAGACCCCTGCCAGATGCAAGAAAGGATGAGAAAGGCTTTCTTGCGTCATGCAGCAGGGTTTGCATTCGACGCCTGGTTGTAGCCCACCCGGCTGGGCAGACCACCCCAGACTTCATCGTAGTACAAGCCCCCAGGTGCCCCCACCTCATTGAGCTGATGTGGGCATCCAGCGACTGCTGACACGGCTGAACAGCAACTTACGGCAGCTGCTACTTACCCTGTGCAGGCTACTCCATCTCAATCGTCTCGCAAGGGACACAATCCGAGGATGTGGACTCACCCTTGGACCGACTCAAGATGCACCTGCAAGTTGGTTACCAGCATTATGAAGACACCGACACAAGCTGCAGATGGGCTCAAGATGGCACGGCTGCCACTAAGCGTGGAGCTCGAAGCCAGTGCCCAGCCAGCTCGCGCACGTTTCCATTTCCTGCTGCGTGAGAAGCTCCTCCGCCAAGAGGCAAACCATCGCTACCTGGCAGGATGGCATGCGGGATGCTGACCTTTGCCCAATGAGAGGCAGATGCCAGCACCTTCTGGAAGCCTTTCCCGCTGAAGTAGAAGTCCGACCTGAACAACAAGAAGGGCACTAACCCATGCCGCACCTGCTACATCAATCTGCGAAGACTTGGCATCCTCTACGTGCGCCGATTCGGGCACAGGGTGTCGCACATCGCTAGACTGACAGCGTGGGTTCTCCTTGAGCCAAGCTGCTTGAACATAGAATGGCGCCAGTTCGGTGGGTCGGCGAGGTTTGTCTCGTGCAGCGGCTGGCTAAACCAGCGCAGAGAAGCACGAGTCTCGTTGACTAGCAGCCCTCTGCGCAGCTCAGTGAAGTCGGTGTGGGGCAAGAAATCCAACCGAGATGTCCTCGGATTTCGGATTATGCGGCTGTGCTGGCCGGCCCTCGCCCTGCAGACATCACAATCGACGCACTGACCCAGTGCTACCTTTTGCAGGGCTCCACAGCTGTGCCTGCCCCTCCAGCCCTGCGCTACTAGTAACAAGTACTGACACGGCCCTGCCGCCGGAGTGACCTGCCATCGCTAGTGGTATGTCGAGGGTCGCATTGTACAGCGGCGCCTTCATGACCCAGGTATTGCCGACAACACCTTGCATAAGTCCCTTTGTTGGTGCCTGACCTCGGGATACAGTCCATAAGGATGTACAGTTCTGTACAGAAGAGAACTGCAGGCTTGTATGCTAGCAACTTGTGCCTAGCTGAAGCCAAAGCTCTTGCGCTGAGTGTGTCTGCCACTTTGGCATTTCCATCGGGCTGCAGCATCTTCACATGATGAGCCTTGCGCGGACACGGCTTCTCAAGCGCGAACCTGGCACCCTCCAAGAGCTTAGCTGTTCGATGCCCTGTCTGTCGAGAAGCATAAGCCCAGTGTAGTAACTGTCCTGACTTTGGCCTGGCCGTCTCAAACTTGTATCTCACCACGCCACCAGGTTCAACCTTGGCAATGCGGGCATGTGGATGACAGGGGCAGCACACAAGGACCCTCGATTGCGTTGCCGTCTGCTTCCGCCCAGCGTCTTTCAGATCCCATCCCACGAGGATTGTGGGAGCGTGGGCATCCAACACATCCACGTCATTGCTTTCCAGAACGTGGGCACCACGCATCCAGCCATTCAGCTGCTTATTCATAGAAATGCAGTAGCCCTGGCATGCTATGTTAAGCTCGAACGAGCTGTCCACAAAGTCCAAGTCTTCCGTCAATGCGTACAGACGAATCTCTGCCGGAGTGTTGGTAAGGTGATGATGGCCTTCGTGATCAGACATGGCATGGAAGAGTTTTTCTTCATGAAGGCTGCAAACTATCGCACAACATCCGCCGCGCCTGTCGTGACGCTCCAAACACCATCACGCACTTTATGCAGATGGTTAAATGGGCGAACGACTCCAAAGTTTATTCTCTCCTGAGATATGCAACCAAGCCAAGACGCGAGAAGGGTGCTCTAATTCCTGGTTCGTTCAGCACTGGCAAGCCAACAAGCTGAGCAAATGAAGGACCAACATGTAGTAATCTTTTGTGCTCTGCTTTCAAGCTGCTGTTGTGACATGGGGCGTCGCCCCGTAGTATCTGCCTGAAACATAGGCCATCCCACCTTAGCTTTCACCCAAGCGATTTGCAAATGCTTCAATACATGTCTGAAGGGGACTTCAAACTCACAACAAAACGTGTTCAGACGCAATCAATCAAATGTTGTCACAATTTTGGCAAGCCTCTGTAAATGGGGTACATCACCACGGTCTCGCCATCAGCTTGCTTGACATTGACATGGACGCCAAACAGGCCTGCGACAGCCCAGGGGCCCAATGTCCAGCCAGCTGCTGACTCGCGGCATGATTACATATATTACATTGTCGGGTCCAGTCCGTCTTTCGTTTCTCCCCGTCAAGGCCATCTCGAGCCCAAGGCATCCAACTTGACGGAAGTGCGCCTCTTCCTTTGCCTTACATGGTAATGCCCCCACCGACACGAGCGTGCCTGCATAGAAAAAGCTCGGTATGGGCTGCAGAAGTTTAGCAGGCACATCGGGCGGCCACACGTACATTCCAACCCGTTGTTCGCTTTTTGTGTTGATCTGGTAGTGAAAATCCGTTCGTCAGGCCCCAAGACAGTTGTGCCCAGCTCTGCTTGACCCGGCGTCAAACCCAAGCGAAACATTCACAGCACAACAGACAGCCACGCACCCTAAACAGGCAAGGGAAATCCTTGGCCTTCCTGGCCAATCTCGAAGCTGGAGCTTACACCTCAAGCTGCTTAAAACACTCAGCAGCCTCAGTGTGCAGGCTGACTTGGCTGCCCGGCCTACGAGTTCTGACGCCCCAAGCGCAAACTCGCCGACAAATGATGTCTGATACAGCTCGATTCGGGAACTATCGCGGTTCTTCAGCATACCGTCCTGATGTCGGCTTAAACCCCGGGAGTTTTGCATATCCTCCATGAGCCATGTGCGTCATGTCCGGTGTCCTGATACCAGACCCTCGGCTGCCTGTTGTGAGAGGCTTTCAGCCTGGGCTGAGCAATGCGCGGACGAGGTTTGAACCAAGTGCCGCTCATGACCAATCACTCCAAGACACTCATGTCTGTCTCCCAGCTTGAGGGCATAAGGCATCGGGTAAATCGCATGCATTGCTCCATCACCAGTCTGAGTTGATCATGGCATGGTTCATGGGTGAACAAGTGCACAGCCGAGCACACTCGGAATGCGAATCGCGAATCAGCATGCAAAACTTCGACAAAGACAGCATACTGAGCCGAGATGCCATAGGGTCGGAAACGATCCTTGAACAGCTGCTGATGTGTATATATATATATATATGTATATGTGTATGTGTGTGTGTATATATATATATATATCTGTGTGTGTGCGTGTGCGTTCCACTTCTCGCATGTACAAAGCCAACACAGACATGGAGCATACCAGCAAATTCTTAACTTGAGCCGAAGATCCAATTCGCCCAAAACTTGTTCGTGCTTTTGGGTCCATGCACGGCGGTGTTCACCGGCTTAAGCCTTAGAGGCGATGTCGCGAGACAAAAAGCACCGTGCCTTCTTCTAGCTTTCTGCTTTCAAGCCACACATGTCCTGAAACATGCGGGAAAAGTTCTGAATTTGGCGTATCCGTGCTGATCGGCTGCAGCAACTGGTCAGCCAAACCTTACGCACTTCAGCGCTTAAGCGCAACTCCATGTGCCAGGCACGACAGCTGCAAGGCCGCAGTGAGCCCCGGGCAACTGGGCAAGTTAAGCCCAACTATCAAAATCAATGAAGCTGTGCCGGTGCACCTTGGTGGAATCACAAGGATTCACCCCTGGCTGAACGTCCACTGCCCAATCCAAAAGTGTCATCACACCGACCTCATGAAACCCATGTACTGAACGTGGCCGTGGCACATGTCCTCTACCAGGTGCAACAACCATCCGGCACGCTCTGGCTGGCGTGACCCAACTCAGAAACCGATACTGTGCCGATGTACTTAATGATTACCGTCTTGCGGCTGCTGCGATTCATGTCCAGGCATTCGATGAGGCTCTTTTCCTCGAAAGCCTATGTATCGTCCCTCAAGAAATTCCGTTTGCACCGCTGATAAGCATGACTTGAAAAATTTGATCTGTGGAGCTTGGAAGAGCATGCCATGGGGTTTCTTGTGCAGGCAGAGAACCCCTCAAGCAGTCCAGAGCTTGCATGTATGAACTGGTCAGGTCACGATGGCATACATCGCAGGAGCCCTGGTCATGACGACGTTGAACCAGCCTCCGCAGCAGCTCTCTCGGTGAGCTGCGCCTCCCATGCTCGAAGCCTTTGCCGTCAAAGCAAACGGACGAGGCAACATTAGAATGTGCCTTTGTGTCTGCATCTACATGTACGTCTCTCCACTGAGTCCGTGGCATTGAGCGTATCCAAGTCATCACTGCATGAGATGCCGCGTCGAGCTTCCGCTGCGCCTCCGAGCACCCATATGCACGGGATTCACACAGAAATATAGAGCCTTTTAGCAACTTATCTGGACATGCTCCGGGACCGGAGAAGAATTACTGCAGCGCGATCCTCTTCCTGCTCCTTGTCGCGCTCATCCGGTTCCGACCCAAGGACCACGGCGAGCTTTGGCCCTCAGAGGCGGGAGAATTCCCCTTTTCGCGATCTCCTGCCCTTGCCCTCTAGGCTTCAAGCCGTCATCCTCCGAGTCGCTGTCATTGTCGTTGGGCTCCTCGGTGGTCGCAACGCCAAGATGTCATGGTTGCACCCCTAAGGCCCCCTGCCTCCCCCAATTCCCCCCGCCCCACCCCAGTATGCCGCTGGGCCTGGCACGGCCTCTGCCACTGTGGAATGGTTCCTTTAGGCCTTCCCCCATGGTTCTGAGTCATGCCTGGAAGAGAAGAGTTTTCCGCCCCCCCCCCTTTGTGTAATGGTTGAGGTCTGAAGGTCTGTCGAGTCGGACTGGAATCTTGCAGAGATCCAAGGTTCAAGCTTCAGGCGGCGGAGTTGAGGCTTCAGGTTTCAGGCCTACTCGGGGAGTGATACCACTGGGCGGGAGACACAGCGCACGACCACATGCATGCTGCTGAGTCTGGAGCATGTCGTGTAACTGTGCCCTCCTGTGTGGCAAATTCCGCGTCCTGCGCTGGGAAGAGGTCCAGGCGGTAAACTCTTATGAGATGTGGCAAGCATGGCGACATGTGACAAAACTGCAATCCCAGCCGACATTTAGTTTCAGCTCCCAAAACCTACACTCTTCGTACCCTCCGGTCGAACGTTGTAGGCTTCGCAGTCGCTGAAGGCCATGAAAGGGAGCCCTAGTTTGGCACAATAGCGAAGCTTCTGCGCTTCGTACTCGTCTAGTTCCCCTAGCCGCCGCAGGCAAGGTCGAGCATGCAACACGAGTCCTCTGCGTCAACAATGTCGACGCCTTGTCGAATACCACCCGCCGCCTGCACCAAAAGACACCATGAGTTTCGTCAGGCTAAAGGCGGCACTGGGATGTGCCAATGTGCTAGCTGCTACACGACGCCAATAGGAATTCATCCGATGAAAAATCACGCTAAATTCGTGCATCTCGCGGCACCATACTGCCAACAAGCTCCACACGCTTCGCTCTTCAGTTGCCTCTCGCTCTCTTTGCTGACGCCGATCCAAGATCTGCATAACCTTGACTTGCGGGGCTTGCGATTGCAGGAGCGCAACACCACTTCTGACCTAGACGAGGTAAGCCTAGACTAAATGCGATATGACAGGCCTCGCTTTCATGGCTCGTGCTTCTCTTACTTGGCTTCCCTTCGTCAACAGCCTTCCCACCGCTCGTTTGAGTTGGCAAGCATCGGATACAGAATCGGAGAACCAACCCAGTGAAGACAATCAATCCTCTGCTTCAAGGAATGCGAAGAAGTTTTAGCGCAAGGCATTCGTGGATCCATCGGCCAAGACGTCCTGATGTTACCGAACTCGGTGTACGCAGGTACATGACTGCATCACCGAGGTTGCTGCGAGGCCTCTTCAGAAACAATTGCAGGCGGAATTGGACTTACATCCAGTGTTTTGCAAGACGCCCCTGCTGCCAGAACTTCAGCTCAATGCCCCACCCCAACCCTCGATAGAGCCTGGTCACGAGAAAGCTCGCAGCCCTGCAGCCTGCGGGAGGAGGTATAGCGGAGTATGGCTGTATGGCCTGACATGCCTGACGGCGTGTAACAGAACACAGGTTACAAATGGAGCACCGAACGAGCTGAAACGGATTGGAAACGAGGATGACGCGGGTGAGCTGTGAAGACATTTGAAAGCTAGTTGGCCGACAAAGCTGCAGCGCGCTTTAGCATTCTGGTCGGGAATCTCACGCTTCAGAGGGCTTCAGTTTGAGGTGCCGGGTCCAGGTTGTAGGCACGGAGTCAGACTCCAGGAGTCACCGCAACTCCGCACCATTCCGCAGCCTGATTCTGATTCGCCTGCAGACACGTTCCGCGCATTCCTTCAATACAGCACCGGCTGCCTCCTCCCTTTCAGCATGCCTTGAGAAAGTAAGGCTGAATTTGCGGCCCAGGCAATATCGAAAACCGTCGGAAGGCAGAGGAAGAGAAGTCGGCTCGAGGCTGCAGCTCTAACATATATATATATATGTATGTATGTATGTATGTATGTATGTATGTATGTATGTACGTATTTATGTATGTATGCATGTCAGCGTATGGATGTATATATATATATATATACACACACACGGTGTCAAACTTGGACCAGTCAGATGAGGTTCAGAAATACTGTAGTGCTTACGGCTGGTGGAACAGGCACGTCCAAACCCAGAAGCTGAAATCAGGATATTGCCGTTCAAGGGGAGGGGATGCCGTAGGGAATCCCTGCTACATGGCTGCATTAAATGAGCTTTAAGCATTAGGAACGTCCACACAGCACACATCTCAAAAACGAGTCCGAATAGTTCTCTGAAAACACGGTGCCTCCGGAACCGCTGCGCGTCTGTCTCCGCGAAGAAGGTGGCGGGCCTTGCATGCGCTTGTGTTTCGCGTGAGTAACCTCACCAGGCTCGGTGTACTCCCCTATGCTTGCGCATCTTCCAAGTGAATGTAGCTTTTACCGGGTGTTGTGCTGCCCCAGTTCACGAAGTCGCCGCTTCGTCATCTCCCTATCCTTGCGGGTGATCTCGTCCTGCTGGGTGAGGGCTTGGGGAGGGGAGTATTGAGCGCGGGGTAGGTCGCGAGATGGCTTGCGTCCACCATAGCATTCAGCAGAGTCTGCATGGTCGCAGTCCTCATCTTCGTCCGAATCCGACTTCGCTGCCGCCTCACCCACCTCGTGACCGTTTGATGGCAAGGGCTGTAGGCTTGCCTGGCTTGTCCGAAATAACTTGCCAGATTACCCGCTGCATCCGCTGCGATACCCTGTGTTGGATGAAGCACCATGCGGCAACACTGCTCCTGACTGAAAACTCCGGTCTGCCAGCCTTCGGTGCTTTGCAACCGACGGTGGTAGAAGATTGGGCAGGGCACGTGCAAGCCTGATCGCTGTTTCAGATCGCTGTTGCTTGTGGATGAGGTTTGACGCTGCTCACATCTCACATCAACTCACCCATATTGCGATGGTCCCCTTCATTAGGCGCATCTTCTGACCGATCCAGTGGGATGTGGGCTTTCAGTCAGCATCCGATGCGACGAATTGAGACACATAAAGCGCTGCGCCACATCTGTACATGGGCATTGCAGCCATACTTTAGCTAACTTCGCGGCCGCCTGTGACGTCATCTCATGTCAGGACTCCCATGACAACGTTAGAAGGCGCTTCCCAGTCATGGTCGCCCGGGTGGCTGAACTCCAGCCTATATGCAAGGTCAACACCCAGCATCAACGGCCTGAATAAAGAACGACCGGCCAGAACAGGTAACCTCTTTCCTGAACCAAGAAGTCATCTGAAGATCTATTCTCTTGCCGAGATGCAGATGGCCTGGCACGTTGCATGCATGTGCTGCTGTCTTGCATCGCTCAAACTCTGCAGAACCTTGATCTGGCATCCCCCTCCTGTATCGGCTCGGTTGCGGCAATGGCTTTGATAGCGGCATGGCAGCCGCTGCCAATCCTCGTCCCCTGGGTGCGAGTACCTGCTGGCACGCGACCGAAACCCGGAAAACACTGCCTTCGGAAGCCTCTATCGACTATGCTTCCAGGTTGCTGTGAGCGGTGCTGGCGTTTCCGATCATAGCACTTGCCTGGAGGCAGAGTCCACGTGAGATGTTGGGTTGGGCTGCCACATGCTGCCACCCACACTCAAGCATCGCCTCCGTATCTGCAGGATGTCCGTCTGTGTCCGGCAAGGCGCATTCCATCAGGTGTCGTGAGTCCATCCTCGAAGGCAAGCAGACTCAGAGTGCGGACGTGGTGCGACCGTCTTGCGTTCACTGAACTGCCAGGCGTCGTACTTTGCATCAACGAGCCGAGGAGTCTGAAGGAGTTGCGACCAACTTGCACGAACAAATAGCAAGGACCTTCGCAACATCAAGGGAACGAGAGCCACGCACAACATCTGACGCTGCGAGGACAACATCATAGTGGTGGGAGGTTGGAGGCTTGAGACTTAGCTCGTGACCCCAGTTTCTGCTTCTGTCAAGTAGCCTGTAGAAAAATCGCCGTGCTGCAGCGTGGGCAACGGCCACGGCTTGGCCATGCAAGCCATCCAGAGCGACACCTTGCCTTAGTTGTCGTCTTCAGTCCTGTTTGAGTCATTCTTTGCAATCACAAACTCATTGAGATCATAGTTCCGTTCTACTGCGCTCGGATCTGATTTGGTTCTCGCAAGCAGGTTCCACCCCCCCTTGCCACGTTCCACCTCAAGCGTCTACAAATTGAACTAAATCAGCCTCACAGCTCCAAGCCCAAATCGTGCGAAACTTCGACGGCCCGAACATGCTTGAGACTGACTGCGCATGACTGCGCCATATGGAGACATGAAATGGAGAATTGAAAACCACGCCAGACCCCAAGACCCTCGGCTGCAACCCGAAATTGCGAAGCAATTGCCGGGTCTCCGTGACTTTCATGCTGGCGAGCATCACAGCCGGAGGCATTTCTATGCACAGAACGCAATAACTTCGGGATGCGTGCAGAAGTTAGACCACGAACTCACGAAAATCCCGATTTGCCCTGCGTACTGCACACTCTGTCTGGTAATTAAGTAGTAGTGGATGCTTCTCAGCGGGTGGATGCATGGGTCGGTCAGCACGTCAAGACTATTTTGCAGTGGCGCCCCAGCTGCTTTTCAAGGCCCTTTTGAGATGCAAAACATGCTCCCAGCGTCTGTCCGACTTCTGCTTCTGGGGTCATCTCACATGCATGCACGCGCCCGAAACCCCAACGATGGGCTGTCGCTCAGTCCAATTCGTTCCAAAGGCACTGGAAAGACCTCATCACATCATCGGGCTCAAGGAGAGGGCAGGCAATCTGACCTGTTGCTCGGCAACTTCGGCAAGCACAGAGCAGGTCTTTGTGATGGCTACATAGGTCTACAGACGGCGAGCCTGCCACGGCACCGATCGTGTCTGTGTCACCACCGACGTACAACATCCGTTGCAGCCAGCCCACGCAAGCTTTGGCGCCGGCAGCACACCAAATGGCCATAATAGTCTGCAGGGCTCCAAAGACTCCGAAAGATCAGTTCTCATCCCTTCTTCACCTACGTGGACTTAAACTATTCTTCTTGGGCATCTTCTTCGTTTCCCTACTTATTCTTCTCTCTCGATTAGAGGCTGTGGCGCGGCAGCCCGGCAGAAGAGAGGGGAAGGGTTCGGAAGGATGCAGGACCGGAAAGAAGCGTAAACTTCCGTGGGTTTAAGTTTAACCCTGAACGTGAGCAGCCGATTGTTATTGAAAAACCGTCTGCACGAGTTCACACGTTTAGGTCTGAGGTGGCTAACACGAAAATCAAATCGAGTTGCATGTGTCGACATCCATCCGAACAGTACGAGTGTCTCTTCTCGGACGGGGTTTACAGGGCAAGACGGGTTGAGTTTACCGTTTTCCCGCACCTACTGTCGTAATTACGACAGATGCTGGATTTTGTACCGGGTTCTGAGAGTGTGAGAGCACAAAGAAGTCACTCCTCAAGCGAGGCCCGGGCCAATCCACAGACAAAAGCGAGGGGTGATGCTGGGCACGTGGGGGCGGAGTATTCCCGCAACCCTCTAACATTCCCTCATTCATTCCCTCTCTGTCTGCGCTCTCGGCGAAGACTTAGGTGCTCTGCTGTCTTGCGCACTCACCTTACAGGATCCTTAGGGCAGCTGAAAGCAAGTGCCGGCCGTGTTCATGCCACGCTGACTGAAGCGAACCAGGACGTCCGGGCGCCCCTCGACGACAAGCCGAGTCCCTTGTCGGACAGCATCCTTTGCAAGCAGGAGAGGAAAAAAAATAAAGTGCTTTTCCATCCAAGCTCCACATACCCACTGTCACGCCGAGTGTCATCGTCAAAATTGGCAGCAATGCCTTGTCATCATCAGCCCACTAGCCGCTACTGGTTCATTCATTCTGTAGCTATCGGACTCATTTCGTTAAGCTTCTTGGCAGCAACAACAACAACAACAACAAAACAAACCTGTGTCGTTGGAGCCCGGAAATGCACTAAATGGCCCTGCTCAGGCGAGTGGCGCAGCATCTCGCCGAAATACCCGAAAGGTCCTCAAGAGAGCGGCTGACGTCCTAAACTCTAGTATGCTTTGCATGCCTTTCGCTGCGCCTGGATGAGTCACCAGCTCGGACTCAGACGGCGGCAAGTTGCTCCTTGATTCATGACAACAATGCAAGCGGTTTCTTTGTTTGGAGGGGAGGCACAAAATGAGTCCCAACACTCTCACAGGGCCGAGGTTCTTCGTGATGAGCGTGTGCAGGAAGGAGTTAGCAGTGTCAGCCTCCGGAAGAAAGGTGCGCGGTAACACTCACAACCACGGCCCCCCAGGTTTCAATCGCCGCGGCCCGACCCGGCCCGGCCCGGCCTTGCAGTCACCAGACCTGCCGAGATCCACAGAAAAAATTGGCGAGTTCTCTCGAGGCGTTAGCCCCGCAACTGAACCGAGCTGCTCCAAGAATTCTCGAAAAGCAGCACACGGATAGACATAGCCGTCCTGGAAGTCGGGGAAGTGACTGAGACGGGATTGTCTACTTGGACCTGTTACGGCGTCCTGAAGCTGGTTCAAGCGTGCAGCGCTCTGCTTCCATGCCGTGCTCTTCAGCACAAAACGGCCGATGTCCTGACAAATCGGCTTAGCTCAGCGATCCAAGCTGGCCTTTCTGGGCACGATTGCCTTGCCGCTTTTCAGCTTTTTTTCATGGATTCCACCTGCATCCATCCGACAACGGTGGTGAAGCAGCGCACGTGTGCCATTTTGAATTGGCTGGCCGGCACTGAGGCTGTTGCGGAGAAGTTCGGAAAGCAGATCCGCTGCCAACATCGCGGAAGCCTGGCAAAGCTGACATGCTGTGAGCAATGGATTGCACTCAAGCGGCGGCCAGTGTGGACTTCAGGCAACGTCGCACGCAGAGGCTCGGTCTAGTTGTTCGCTGCCAGCCTCACTGTGAGTGCAGCACAGCACCTGGGCAGCAGGTCCTGTCCAGAACATTAGACTAGACTTCCACAGCACCCGGTCGCATACTGTACAGTGCGACATTGCATGGCAAGCGCAGTCGCGGTTCTTGTTTGCAAGCATCGCACGCACAGACATCAAACAACCGTCCTGCTCCAGCCATCTGGAAGAGCACCTGTTGTGCTCAGACTCTCATCAACCGTACCGACCTTGTTTCAGATGAATGCCCCGCGGCCTGCGGCGTCATGCTCATAACAGCTCCGTTCCCAAAAGAAGGGAAGCCACCCGGATAGTTTCCACTGCAGTGCTCCTCCAGACGGAACTGTTCCAAAAGCAAAGCCGTCAGAACACACGCCTGGCTACACTTGGCTTCTTGCCAGACCTGGTCTGCGACTCGAGCAGAGAATCAGCATGCCGCACTGGAACAGTCACTATACCAAACACCCAGTCTCGCGCACGTGCATTCGCGACACCCCGCTCCTGTGCGAATTTGAGGAAATCTTCCTGAGCCGTGGAGCGTTTTAACCCTTTGGAAAGTAAAGACCATTATGCAAAGCAGCATGCATCTGGTGTTTGGCCAAGAATCTGTGGGCCAGTAGTCGCTATCTGGCTGAAACAGCTCGATCTTTAGATGACCTTGTGCCAGCAATCGAATCTAAAGAGCAGAATTGGCCAAGCGGTCAAAGCGAGCTCAAAGGCGAAATGCAGCATGCGGCCAAGACGATTTCCTCGTGAAGGCTTCAGCAAGTCTTTCCTCGTCTGCGAGTCAGAAGCAACTTTCTGGCGATACTTTTCCGGAAAAAGGTGCCGAGCACACCCTTGTTGGCGTGCTTTGTGTCAAGATTGTTGTCGTGCTTGTTGCCACTGCTGGTCCTTCAGCGTTGCTTGTCGTCGTGGGGGTATTCCTGTGGCTGGTGGCCCAGCGATAGCTGGCCATGGGCGAGGCGTTGCACTTGGAGGCACAGCCAAGCCCTAGGGGCTGTATTCGACCATTCTCCAAGGCTGTGAGGCCATATTGACATCTTCCCCTCCCCCGAAAAACAACATAAAACGATCCCCCCCCCCTCGTCCCACACCAAAGAAAGAGTCCTGCGAACCTATGATACATACCTTTCCTCCATGTTCTGGGTAAGCAGACTGCGAGATTGCTGGCTCTACTTGCGTGTTGCCACTGCTTATCCAAGCATCGTAAAGCCGCCATAACCTTGAAACAGTTGGCCACCACTGCCATGGGCCCATGCCAGGAATTCCTGCATCAAAGCCTCAGAAAATGACATGTAAGGCGGGGTGAAGCATTCATGTTTGCAGGTGCCTCGAAAAGTCTGTTCTCCGGAACTTTCATCGCGCCGCAAGTCCACACGACCTGCCGAATCGAATCCACTTCCCGCGGAGACTGCCTTTCCGTGAATAACGTCCCCACTGCTTGATGTCATGCGCTTTCCGTGCCACCCAGATAACTACAAAAAATTGCAATTGCCAATGACGACTCTCTCGCCTTGGCTATTGCATGCATCTTCAGATCGGTGCATACGGTGTCGTCCGAATAGCTCCGACAGAAGGAAGTCCCTGCCAAGGCAGCGATAGTATAAATTTACGTTTACAGCGAAGGGTCGGTTGAAGAGTCATTGGACAACAGTTCAGACAATTTCGCAGGTAGCTACTTCGAAGTGATGTCCTCATAGTGCTCCTTGCGTGTATTCGTTGCCTCCGTCTTCCTCCAACCCGTCGGATGCCACCGTCTCGGCACTTGTCAGACCCGAAGTGAGCGTGTGACTGACGATGGGGGATTTATTGCAAGATAGGGCTGCGGTCAGTACCTGGACTGAGGCTGAGGGCCCCGAGGGCCAGTCCAGCCTGCAGAATGTATGTCAGCAACATTCTCTCTAGGCCAACGCAACGCAAATACCATTTTCTGGCAAATGGAACCACTGGAACCAAGCAAATCCCAGGAGGAGTGTCGCACAAAAAGTGCGGCCTTCAGCAGGAGAAAGGCGCGAGCTAAGGAAAGGCATCACATCGGACCAGAACCTTGCAGCAGCCGACTCACCTGAGCTTTCGCCAAACCTGGCCGCTTAGCACCATCACAATGAAGCAAGCGTGCAGTCAAGCCGCCGGATTCTCCCTGTTGTATAGCGAATCGTTCTCGATTCTTCGCATGTGCATGAAGCCTTGCAGAGATGCAGCACTACATCGAAGTGTCAGTTTGAGTATCAACTTCTATACATACGTGAGGATGACCCACGACCTCTCTCTCACGCTGTTTAGCTATCGCAATGTGTACCCTGGTCACCTGAAAAGGGGTGATATGTAACTTGCTCTGCCATACACCCACAGGTAGACCAACACGTGAGCTCCGTCCACCCAAGCTCTCCCCAACATCCCAGGTACACGTACCTGCATTCGCTCATGGATCCCCGCAGGGATAGCTTGGGGCTCCTCATCTCATGTTAATCTTCATCTCACCACGTGCTACATCATTAGCTTGATGCAGTGGGGCAGAAACCTTAGCCCATACGGATCACCTCATCGCCGTTCCAGGTGTCTGGCAAACTTGGCACCACAATATCCAATTTCACTTTCGTTTACCTTGTCGTTGTCAAGTCCTGTCTGTCGTGACTCGTCGCAGCTACCCTTGCGAAGCATGTGCTTACGTAGCTTGTGTTTCAATACTCTTCTACCATGCCATTAAACGTTTCATGATGCGGGCCTGCACCTAAACATCGGGAACCACGCCGCATCACCAAGCAAGTTGTGTCTCTGGTCGGGGATCATGCACACTGCCGGTCGGGAATGCAGTCCCTAGCAGCCTAGCAGCCTCTGCCTCCGACCTGGGTTCGGACCTGGACTTCAATGCTTCGCCATCACATCACGATGTCCGAAGCTGCAAGTCTGCGGTGTTCAATAAGAGTCGATCATGTCTTGCAACTCAGCAGCTCAAACGGTAAGCCAACGGCATCACCGATGGCTGTCCCCAGAAGCCCCAGCAGGGCAGATCGCTGCTGCGGGTTGAGCTTCCGGCAGTGCGTCTCCAAATCCTGTGGCCGCTATTGAGCGAGGAGAATCAGATTAGATGCAGTTGCGACAGCAAATGGCAGTGAACTTCAATCAACAAAGCCTTGAAGGATGGTTCGGAGGTGCTGGAGTCCAGCTCCGGTGGAGGTCGAGGAGACGAGTTCCCCATGGCTGCGAGGCTGGATGCAGCAGCGTCAGTACTTACGGTAAGGGTAGTTGTTTTCGGTTACTCGATCGGAGGAGGAGCAGCAGCAGCTGTTCTCTAGTAAATATAACTCCTGGCTGCTGTTGTGTTGTTCGCTGCTCTTCTAGGGGGTGTCACCCTGCACAGCTGCAGACTGGATTCAGGAGCTTCCTGCGACATGACTTTTAATGCCGCACCGGCAGATAAAGCTGCACGTTGGGCATGGATGGCAAGAACACGGTCAAAGCAAACTGCATTACATGAAGATCACTCGCGCTGCAGCTGCGAGCAGTGGCATGGATACGCGTGTGCTAGGAAAAGTTCAAATCCAATTAAGCCTACCACAGCCACAGATAGTCGGCTCAGCTTTCGACTGGACCGAGCCCGGGTGCGGGGCCCATGTCCTCAAACTAGCGAACTGAACTCCTGGCACTACGAAGCCAATCTCAGGGGCCTCTTTTGGCAATCCCTGTGGCCAGCGTCGGAAGTCCACAACTTCGCCTCAAGCGCGGGCACGAACACAGGAAACATGGCAGCCTACATCACATTCGCAGCAGGACTGATTTCACAAAAAGTCCCTCCTAAAACATGCAGTGTCTGCTAACGGCTTTGCAAGCCATTCTTCCCATCGTGCATGCAGATACCTTGCGCAGCTTGGAGAGCGACGAGCCCTGGCAGCATCGACTTCTTTCTGGCGGCTGACCTTACACATAGCACATGACACGTCTGCCACTCCAGGGAGGCGTGTCTCTCTGCTCCTGCCGATTCCCCTTGCCTCGACTGCTTGTTCACGAAGGTACTCGGTGGCCCTGTCACGCTCCACATCACCACGCTTGCGGTACTCCTGTGCCAGATGCTGCGAAATCTAACCCAAGTGGTGCCACTCAACCACGGTGGCTTGCCGGCATGTGAGACACACATGCCGGTATCATGACTCCATAACACTGTTTCGCCTTTGGGGCTGCGTTTGGACGCGCTCCCCGCAAAGAAGGCAAAGACAGCTGCGTCGGTAGCTCCTGCATGGAGTGGTGAGCTGTCAATGCTCACTGCGCCAAGGCCGCCTCTTGATCGACTCTCGTGGTGGAGCACTCGCGCACAGGTACGAGAAGTGTGGCATTTTTCTCTCGATCAAGGCGCCGCAACTTGGAAGAAGTCACGGAGACCTCAGCCGCGTGCAGCTATGAGACCCGGCACCAAGACAGCCTGCCTCCTGAAACGATGGCCGGGCAGTTTAGGTTTAGAGTTCAAAGGCGGCAACAGCGCAACTTTCATGACAGAATTGCCTCAAAGGTAGAACTCAGCGTTTCTTTCGCTCCCGATGGGCTTTCACAACCACGCACGCATTCTCGTTGGAATCCATAAGCCATAAACGGAAACCAACTTCCAAACTTAGCCCTAAGTTGTGAGTTCGCTGCTTGGGTGCAACGGACTTCCACAAGTTAGTCTTCGGTCTCAAGATGTTCCAAGGATTTCGGCGTGTGAGATCATGTGCGGAGAGCACAGGTTGGCGGTCCGGGTAGCTGCGAAGAACACGTCAGCTCCCAGAGACTTTCGGATCTGAAACACTGCCGAGTCTCAACACCAGCAGCGCTGCTGATTGCCACCCTGGTCACTGTTTTATTTCAGGTGTTAAGGCTCGCTGAAAAAAGAACGAGCAGCAAATGCGCTGTCTGATAGCCCGTTATACTGTACTTCAACCCAACCTCTATGTACAGGTCAGTCCTGATCTGTGCATTGGGGGAAACCGACCAAAATCAGTTTGGCCAAGTGGCAAGGTCTCTGATTCGACTGTATTTGGCAATCTCAGCTCCTTGACCTTGGCAGTTGTGAGGGGCATGTTGCTCTCGTCTTCCTTGTCGAGCTCTTTGGCAGTCTTGATCTGCAATTCGCAGCTCTCTGTCTCCCATGCGCGACACCTGTTCAGCAGGTTGTTCTGGTATGACTTAAACCTGAGTTGGCGCTGGCGACATTCACAACAGAAGCAATGGCGCAAAATGACGCAGCCTCGCGCAACGGACGTGCTAGTCAGCTAGTCAAAAACGGTGTATTCTCAGCGGGACATACAATACTAACAAAGCAAAAAGCTAAAAATGCGAATCCAAGCCCATGACTTTGGCAAAGCCGAGCTGCAAGTGCTCCCGGAAAGCTCTACACTCTTCTTCGGATCTTTCATTTGGCTGGGGACCAGCAGGTTCAGGGAATGGCGCAACTGTAATGTCTGCGCCAAGCACCCGCCAACTCTGCAACACCATCTCGTCATTGTTAGCACCATAAAAGGACCGTGGCCGGATGAGCGGCCTCGGCCTGTAAGAAACCACCCCGTCTGACCAAAGGGAAATGACACCAAGGGGGGCCTGGCATGCTCCAGTGCATGACAAACAGTCGCCCTTCCTGTCTGCGCGCAGTCTCACCAAACGCCCATGGAAGAAATTGTAGCACGAAGCATCCGCTGGAAGGCATAAATTGTCGCGGTCAGCCCAGTCGATGTTGACGTGAGCTGTTCTAACCAAAGGGATGAAGCACCGCAGTGGTGCACTTGGAGTCTGACAGTTCCAGAGTACAATGTACCCGGCCGCGAAGCCAGCAGCCAACAATTCGAATTCGTGTGAAGGACACCAAGCCACGGACATCACCGTCTCGGCATCGAGCAACAAGGGTCTAAGCACTTCGATCGGCGCCTCCTGTAGCGGCGATCCTGAAACCAGTCGCCAAAGAAGCACCACGGATCGTTCACAGCCGGCCGCAACAATGCAACTGCGCGGATCCCTTGGGCTTTCTCGCGCGGCTGCGCATTGTACATGTCTCTGCCAGGCACTTGCAGGCTGCGCTCCTGCAGGAAGCAGTCTTGCCTTCCAGAACGGCTTGAATCTCGCAAAAAATGGCTTATGAAAGATCGGCTTCTCTTGAAACATTGCCGTTGCCAGGCTATACAGACAAAGCTCCCCGGTTGACAGTGCGGCCAAGAGCAAGCCCAATCTTTCCTTCGTGCGCTTGGATGGCAGCCACTGCAAGCCGCGTGCACTCGCAGCATCGTGCACAACTCCCAGTCGCAGCTGTGCAGACCTTTCTGGGCTGCGCATATCAATGCGCCAGAGCTGAATGGCCGCAACACCCGGCACTGGACCTTCTGCTGCCACGGAAGGCATGGCACGACTGTTGACTGCAAGCGCGAGCACAGCCATGTCGACAGGTGGCGCCCATGCTGCCGCAGAGATGTAGCATCCAGCATTCAGCACGGCCATCTTCTCACCTGGAGCAGACTCCCAGGCTGGAGAAGCAGAGCCAAGTGGTACCTCCACTGTACGTTCCTCCAGCTTCAACGGACATGGTGGCACAAACTCCGGGAGCAGATCTGCCTGTTCATCTTCTGTAATACCCTGCTTGCAGTCATTGACATGCGGCGCGTCAACCTCGGGCAAGATGACGCCCAGAAGATGCTGCTTGAATGCTGAGCTCTCGTTTGGCTGACCTTGATATCGTGGCCACTTTGGCCGCCACTTCCGGCTCACTTTGTGAACTGCTGTATTGGTGTCGGCGCTGCCGTTCTGCCAGGCTTTCCGCTTCTTGGGAGGCATTCGCAATCGACGGCCGCTCTGCGCCTCGCGACCCAGTAGTGTCAGTTATCGCAATCCTCGTGCTCGAAAACTCCGTGTGCCAAAGAGGGGGTTCGAGACCCGAGAGTAGCACCCGGCAAAGACCTCCGATCATGCAGCATGGCCGTCGTCATCAGGGGCATCAGACCTGCTCCATGTAACCTTTTTGGAATCCGTGCTACGCAGCTCGCATAAGACTCTACCACACCTACCCTACCCGCCACTGCACAGGAAGGCAAACGTTATCTCGACAACGGTACTCGTACCTCAGAACATACTAACCGGTAAATATTTCAAGAGGGGGCGTCTGGCATGCAACAGACAGGTTCAAAGCCGACGGCTGCTGCGCGGGACGCTTCATGCAACTATGCCAACTCCGCACTTCCATGATACTTCAGGCGTCCGTTCGCCAATGCGTGCGCTGACTTAAGCCCAGGGAAAGGGACTCGTGCCACGACTAGGATACCCTGAAGTTGTACGGCAAGTCCTTCACGGCGTCTGCGAGCTCCGCAGCGCACATGAGAGATGATACGATGTCAAGCACATTGCAATCCACCTCTGCATCACAAAAGCATTCGGCCACAGGTTCTCCGTGGCGAAGTGCAGTTCCAGAGCAAGTTCATTCAACTATTCATTAAGAGATGGACCATGCCACCTATGCTTCGGGGATGATCATAGAGCACCCTCAAGAGCGGAAAATGAGGAAAAGAATCGAGGCACTTGAAGATTGAATGCACGGTGCCTCGAGCTCTTACGGATGATGCTTCAAACTTTGGTGTTCTTGGCTGTGGGAGGTTTTTCAATGGCATGATTCGTCTGTTGAAAGCGGGGCATGAATGTTTCAGTCTCCGGAGTTTCATGATGCGACGTGGACGTCTGCTGAAACTCAATACACCAGGAAAGAAAGCGCCACAAGCTTCACAGCTGCAGAACCTAGAATCTCAGAGCCTTATGTCCATGTCGCTTGTGTGGGAGGGTAGGTGAATGCTGTAATGAATCATGCATTCGATTCATGAAGGGGTCTTCATGACGAGCGACGAAAACAGCACACTTCTGGACATGAATACAACTCTTATGTCGTATGTATGGCAGACCAGGTCTTACTGCCAGTACCAGCCCAGGAGCACTGGCAAACGATTGCTGATTAGAGTTCAATCGCAACCATTGGGATTTAACGGGCCCTTTTCGTGAGTGTTGTCTTTCGTGCTTCGAACCCAAGATCAGACGCTCGTCCAAACGACAAATTCCCGCGGCTGTAATCTCCGCGGACACCATACAGTTTGGAAGCCTAAGTACTGCTGACAAACCCGCCGTGGCCCCTTTTTTTAACAATCTAGAAATTACCGCCCTGGCAGAATCCACTCATGATCTGTGGCTCTTGTACAAAATTAGCGATTAACTACGCATTTGGACTCCGGATACATGAAGCCTGCAGAGGTTACAGACCTTGGTCTGTAAACTCCGGTGTTGCAAACATCGCCAAGCTTATCAAACCGGCCCAACGCTTTCGGGTTGTAGGGTCTGCTCTTCTATACCCAGTAAACCATTCAAACATCAAACCAGCAAAGCAGTCATTCACTGAGCTAACTTGCTGTGTTCTATCAATGGTTTAGGTACCCTGGCCACTGAAGAAGTGACCACTAAGGAACGAAACTGACCTGCTCATGGGCTGACTCTGTCATGGCTTGGGACACTAGCCAGGCTTTGGGAAATTCGGAAATCTAAATAATAACGATTCATGGTTAGGGGCTCTACTACTCTATCAAGTCATTGTCACCTGAGCGACCGAAATGCATAGGCTCAGGTATTAATCAACCAAATTCTTGATGGGCTGCGACCCTTACCGTTCACAGGGGGCAAATCAATGGACTACGAGTTTCGTGATCTGGGGCATTGATGGCCTGGGACACACACAGGAAATACATCACAGTTCTTCGAGTGCACATATACACATGCACGTGTGTATGTGCGTGTGTGCGTGCGCATCTGTCGACCTGTCTATCTGTCGATCTATCTATGTATCTCTCTCTCTCTGTCTGTCTGTCGATCGAACTATGATCTGTCTATCTATCTGTCTGTTTACCAATCTATGTGTGCATGGTGTATGCGTGTGCGCACGTGCGTGCGGACATTTGCACGTGCATAGATAGAAAGATGAATAGATAGATAGATCGATCGGATAGATACAAGGATAGATAGACAGCTGCCTATTATTTTCAACCCTTCTCACGCATATCATATGTATATATATATATATACACATGAATAGATTCGTATTGTAGGCTTTTTGTTTATTTACTAGATCTCAATCTACGTGATCATGTGCGTCTGTACATACTCATGTGTTTGTCTATCTCTTGTATGTGTTCATCTGGTTGATAGTTTCGTTTTGCAGATACATGTTTGTACCTAGGCAGGTGGTGGTCCAGCTCTCGCTATGCTTGCTTGATCTGATGCATCACGGCATGCAGTGTGTGTGTGTGCGTATGTATATATATATATATCGGTATTTTTTGCGATTTTCTGACCTTTCATATACATATACATATATACATATACATATATTTATGGTATGCATACATACATGCCTGTACAGAATCATTATACGAAACCTACTTGCGCATGTCTTTATGCGCAGAAAGAAAAACCACACACACACACACACACACACACGCACTCACACAATCACACACACACACACACATATATATATATATATACACACACACACATATAGATAAATATATATATATATATGTACACACATACACCCATCAAAACGATGCAGGGCCTGAGCCCCCGCCCCACCCCATGAAACCCTCTCCCACCCCTGCCCCCCCGCCTGTAGCGTGGCACCTGTGGTCTTGCTTGGGTTCCTGGTCTCTCGGCTTCTTTGTATCCCTCCTCCCGGGGTGGTGCCTGTGGTGGTCGCGGTTGGTTCGGGGAGGCAGGAACCCCGGCCCTCTCTCCGAGCTTAAGCCTAAGTTTGGGACTCTCACTTTGCTAGGAAACACCGATTTCCAGGAATAATTATGATTTCGATATGGTTTTGATATGATTTCGGGAATCATTCCGGTTACGATTTTCTTCTGATTTCCTTATGGTTTATGATTTTGTTACGATTTGGATACGGTTTGGATACGATCTTGATACGATTTTGATACGATTTCGATACGACTTTGATACGATTTCAATCCGTCTCCAGCCTCCTCCAGGACTGGCTCTGAAGTGTTTGCTATGTTTTTTTGATATGGTTTTCGGACTTGCAACCGAGCTGCTTTCCGAGCCGCTTTCCCTCGTAGCCGTATTGAAACCGCAACTAGAACCGTATCAAAATCGTCAACGGGGAAAAACCCTGAACCACAAGAAAACCATAAGATAATCATAAAATAAACTCCCGGCGTCTACCCTGACTTTCCCAATGATGAAAGTCTCAAGCCTACGTATTGTGTTTGCTCCCGCATGCCACCAAGCAGCAGCTGTAGTTCTGGCTGACACGTCGCATGCTGTGCATGTTGCCATACCCACAGAAGCATGCTTGTGGCTATTTGCCAGTGGAGTTGTCATCCTTATTTCGGTTTTTCCGTTGCTGATGGTGCCCCTGTTGCTGTGGTATAGCTTTCGCTCTAGCACACAGGCGGATCACTGCATTGACACCCGTTGCCTCCTCCTTCCCACGACAACGCGCCAGCTAATTTAGCCATTTTTGAGGACAACTCGCGAGAGAGTCAGGGCAAATGCGACACCAAAAGGTTCAATCCCAGCGACTATTGGCAGTACATCGCAGTGACGATCACATCCTCCAAAAACGATGACTGTCAAGAGGATCGTGGCCGCAACGGGCTCGATCCCCGTGACTGTTGTCGCAGACAGCTCGGTGGAGGGGGCCGGGGGGGGGGGGGGNNTGTGCGCGTGTGTGTGTGTGTCTGCATGTATATATGTGTACATGTATGCATGTATGTGTAATATACATATATATATATACATACATACATACATACATACATACATACATACATACATACATGAATATGCATGGGTGCATAATGCACGTACACACACAGAGATTTCTTGGCTCTGGTACACAAACAATTACAAGTACAGCTACACGAGCCTAGATAGAGACGTACACCCAAATATGTATGCACGCTAGAAAGAGGGGAGGAGACAGATGCTGATGAACAGGCAACAGCAGAAGCACAAAGAGAGCATCCGAGCACACAACAGGACACAGAAAGACCAACATCCAGATACTCTGCGGCAAGCGCGACCGTCTTTGCTGTGGCGTCATCCGTCCATGATGTGAGTTAGCGGTATACCTCCCAGCCATGTCTCCCCATTGTTTTGTCCTTGAGCAAGCTGAAGAAACTCTCTTCTAAGCAACCGTCAGATTGCAAATCGCAACCTACCAAGCGCTGGGTGATGTCTAGGCCATTCCACAATACCCGCCACAGTGCTTGCGAACGGTTGCTTCGAAAGCGCTCCTGAGGATCACATCAGTTTATGTCAATTTCTACAGCACCTGAAAGCAGAAATGACATTACCAAAAATTACAAACTCGGCAAGTTGCAAACACCAAAGAAGACGACCACGGCGGCCGGGCCATCAATGCATCTTCACAGGCCTCTCTGCCCAAGAGCTGGACGAGGCTGGCAGTTAGGTCAATGCCAGAGACGCTCAGCACTGATAGGCGACCTTTCGGGCTCAGCACCGTCTGCTGCAAACGATCTGCGAGCTGAAAAGCTAGAGATGAATCGGAAAGCAGGGCTTGGCAGGCTTGCAACTCGCCCTTGGCAATAAGCTCCGCTGCTGCCTTGGGCGACAGGCAACCGTCAGCATTGCATGGCAGGCTGCCATGGTTGCACCATCTGGACAGAAGGTCAGCACCAAATTGCATGTCTTCAAGTGCAGACTCTATCTCGCCGCTAAGGCTTGTTAGGGTCTCGGAGCTTTCCAGTGTGGTGATGGACATCGTGGCACCCTCTCCCACGTCGGAGGCCAAAGGCAAGAGAATCCCCAGGGCCGTCGCCAAGGAGCGCCTGGTATCCACGCTCAAAACGTCGAGCGCGGCCTCGGCAAGTCTTTCGTGGTACTGCCATTGGAGGCGCCTTCCAAGAAGCACCGCTTGCTTGAAACCATCGGATGTCAGCTGCTGGGCTGCGCAACTCCTGCCTGCCCACGGCTCGCCTGTATCTCCCCCCTCTCCCTCTGCAAGGAGATCCGGCTCAAAGCTTCGGTCCAAAGCACTGCCATCCTCAGCCACGACTTGGAAATGGACTTGCTGGTTCAGATGCCAGTGCCTTGGCAAGTCGGTCGGGCGACAATCCCAAGTGGACGGCGGCCTTGGATCGTCTGGCCAACCTTGCCTTGCACTCGCTTCTCCGTGGCTTGCCATAACCAAAGCACTTTGAAGTTTCCAGTCCGCTGGCTGCAAATCCACAGATTCTTCTGCCAGAGCCACTTCCGCCAAGCAGTGCTTAGAGAAACGATCGAGACGTGAATCTTCTGATAATAAACCATATTCTAAGGTATTCGGCACCTGCAGGGAGAAAAAAGACAAGAAACTCAAATCAGTTTGATGTGCTGGAGTGAGGCCTGACCCCAAAGGCTGTTTGGTTGAGCGCCTCTACTTGCCACAGAAGCTCCAGACTGCCCATCAAAGCAATTGCGCCAAGGCTCAACGGTATGGCCACGCAGGCGGGCCTCTGGCAAAAGCAGCAAAGATCAGCTGAATGCTCTCTGGCATCTCTTTACGGACGTCGTCTAGTCCTACGAACGCCGGGATGCCCACCGCTGAAAATCAACCGAACCCTCTGGGGCCTCTTCCTGATCCTCTTCCTCAACACACTTTCGCAACTAGGGGGATAGGTAGGTGACAGAAGTTAGAAGCAGCTAAACGGCACGTAAGGGGGCCCCCCGGCATTAGTGCATCATAATTGCCATCTCAAGAATAAGCTGGGGCTCTGCTTCATTGATCGGGCCAGCAAACGTGAAAACTCCATGGCAGATACGCGATCTTCGATGGAACATGCGCTCTCCCGTTCTTTACTTCACGAACTAAATGTACGGCTTTGGCGAAGCATTTTCCAACTCTGCGACTCTATGTTAACCTCAAACCATGTTGCCAAAGGTGTGTTTCCCAGTGCTCAAGACTTAACCTGCATAGTGCTTGGATCCGAAACGGCTGGAAGCTTGCAATTACACCTGCAGCTACAAAGGCGGGGCGAACCTTCAACATGGAGAGCAAGATTGATGCTCGGCCTCCTCCAGCAGCGGAGTCAAAGCCTGCACCAGGGCCTTGCCGAAGCATGTAACATCTACGGGTATTTGGAGCGTACGCACGCGAGTGCATGCAGCATTGCACTGAGGGTCCGGTCATGCACCAATGCAGGTTCCGCAGCAGAGGAAAGAAGGCATCTCACCGTCGCATCCAGCTCAAGGCCGGCAAGCTGTTTCCATGCACGAGGGAGGGCTCGAGTCCTTTGGAGCCGTTTCTTTGTGAAACGCACGCTTATTTGGTGCCTTGAGGTCGAAGGGTGAACCTTGCGTGGTCATTGCCGAACGTATCCGAGATTCGCCGTCGACGGGCAGGCACTCAGGCATTCGTGATCGACGTATCTGACGTATCTTCAAGGCTTGGCGAATGCATCTCAGATCTGCTTCAAGGGGATGCTGTTAGTGCTCGCACCTTCAATGCGCAGTCGTCTAGCGGTGCATGCTGGCATAACATGAGGTCATAACAAGAAGTTGTGCAGCCTGGGAGTCAGGGCGGGCACCTGTCATCAGTGCCAAGTCGGCGAAGCAGGCGATCCAGTCCTTCAGATGTCTCCTGAACTGCTTGGGAAGTCGGGTCTGTATTGACTGCGACGTCCTCATACAGCACCCATACGTCACACCGCAAAACTTGAAGCCCTCGAGTTTGCTTCTTCAGTGACCACACACGACGAAATTCATCGCACGAAAGTAGTACGAGGGATTCCGTATAAGAGAGCAGAGCAACCACCACTGCATGCATACAGTTGCAGACTTTGTCTGCAGCGGTGCATGTGTCCTGGCTTTGTGTGTCCAGCAACGTATGGGGAAAGGCTTGCAGGATAGCAGCCTCTCTCCTGGAGCCGAGAGTTCCATTTCAATCACTAGCCTGCTCCCCCACAGAGGCCGGAAAGGAGAAGGTGTTGCCCGATCATCGAAATCGCCGAGCACTCCGTGCTGGAGGAGCCCAACACCCCGTGTGTCTGGTAGTATCTTGTATCAACCAGCTGATGAATGGGGCATGGAACCGTGAAGCACAGAACATGGCCGGGCAAAAAGCCGGGCCTTCAATTAAAGAGACGTCGTTCCGGCCCAAAATCGCATGCCATAGCACGCTAACACCCCGATCATCTCAAGGCGGGTGCTGCCGTCAGTGAAGACTACAACAAAGCATCATGCATCAAAAGCAACATGGCAAGCAAGTTAGCGAGCCGAACTGGGAGGGCATTCGAGTCCCGCGGCCGAAGGTTTGCAAGAACAAGGCATGGTTGCAAGAACATAAACAAATAAACAAAATAACGTCACTTCCACCAGCTATGCGAACTCGTCGTTGCAAGCCAAGTGTCGCATCAGTAAGCTGCAAGACTAGCCTTACAAGTCGCGGCACGGAAGCTTGGTCAACAAAGCCAGAAATGAGCGGAATACCAGTTAAGCAATTGACACGCTTCCATTTCCTCTGTCCACAAAAACAGCGGCTATGTCACATCACAAAGGTCCGAGCTGAGGAGCTTTTGCAGTGAACAAACGTGCCAACGCGCATCTGGCAGCAGTAAGACGAGCTCGAGCCTGCATCGCTCCCTGCTCTTTGCACACGTTACGAAGCTCCACCCCATGACCAAGGCTTGACTTCACCAAAAGCGCCGGCCCTCGCCCACAAAGAACTAAGCGAAGCGGGAGCCTCGCCTTGAAGTCTCGTCGCCTTGCTGTGGGGCTTCCAAGGAAAACCTTCGGCAGACAACGACGCAGTCGCTCCCCTGACTTAGACATAGCCCACCGCGGCAGAGCAGACGTGTAAAGCAGACAGAGAAGCAGCGCTCGGCCGGGATTGATGTCGCTCAGCTGAACCTTGCCCAAGTACATGAAGGCAAACGGGCAGGTCACCTGCAGCATTGCACCACAGCTCTCGCACTGCCCCTCTGCATCACTGCCATAGACTGTGGTCTGCAGGCTGCGCCGGGCCTGATCGAAAGACAAGAGAAGAAGCGGGCCACACAGTGAAATCCAAACCTGAGGTCTGGCAACGGAACCTGGGCCGCCTGTACCGAGGACAAAGAATGCACAGCCTACACTGTCATAGTCGGGCTCGCACTAAATCGAAAACTGCCTAGGGCGATGGGGGACCTGTGTAACAACAACACATTGTCGGCATGGACGACCATGCAGAGGGAGATGGGTTCATAGCTGGAGAGAGTAGTCCCGGTTCTACGACTAACACTCCTGAAGCTTTGCAATGGCAGGAGCATCTGAAGAGAAGTGCATCCCGGACGTAGAATCTTCCATGGGCACTGCCTGCACAGACTGGCAAAAACAGCCGGATGGCATGTCGTACCTCGGAAGCCCTCTTCCCTTTATGTCCAGTTCTTTGACGTGCAAAGTCACCATAGGATGACTTTGCAGAAGCCAACGGCAGAACGAAAGCAGCGACCTTGGACCCTTCTGTGTGCCTTCATGGCGTGGCTTATGGGGGCGGCGACCGCATTCTGCGCGATGGGAACTCGCGCCGAAAATGTACCCTCGCCTTGGTCATCTACATGTAGCAACCAACGACTGACATGCTGAGACGATTGCCCTGTGCCGTCAGAGCTCTGAATACCTAGAGCACCCGAAAGATCGCAAAAGGCAACTCATCTGGATGTTCCGACAGTCTTACCAATACCTCACAGCAGCCCGAACATGCCACACGCGCTTTCTGCTACGTCGGCACCAGACGAGACACAGACGTATCCAAGCGCCTCGTGAATACGCTCCTGTTCGATGGTTCCCTGGGCTGTCTCGTTCACGTGGGACAGGAAGTCATCGCCAACAGCATATGCCCATCCCTCCACAGATGCCTGACGAGTCGTTAGTTAAGTCATCAGTCGAGAACAGCTTCTGAACTGCCAACGCTTGCATAAGACTTGAATAACCCACCATTCAAAAGCCATTCTCTTCTTTCTGCGGGGGCACCACGCCATCGAACAGCGATGTGATACCAGCTTCACTCTTCGGATCGGGGCCTTTGCACATGGCACAAACTCCAAGAGGGACCCCATCAAAAAGCGACTTCTCCTTGCATCTCGGCCACTCCGCGGCCTCCCAATCTGCAACGGCTCCCATTTCCAGTTGCTCACCATCTGACAACGGAACACGAACGGAGAGATCACATGTCACGGGCATTCTGCAATATTCTGCAACGTTTCTGCAGCCTGCGGCCGGGCCCAGAGCTTACTTTTCTCATGAAGTTCACCGGCTCTTCATTGCTACATTGCTACATGCGGCAGCTGAGTTCCTCACGCGCAGGTGTGTAAACCCTCGAGAATATTCATGCAGCAAAGGTCAGAGGCTACGCAGGCTCTCTGAAATTGGTGTCATCACGATACTATCTGAAACTGCCCGTAGCAACTGCACATCTCTGTGGTGAGATTAGGGCAGGTTGCCAAAACACGCCTCAGCAAGAAGCTGTCACATTGCTATCGTGGTGTACCAGCCACGTCCTAACGTTTCTACGCCAAGAGGCCGAGTCGACTGAGCGTGAAAAAGCTGTTTTGTCAATCCATGGCTCCTTCATCGTTGCGTCTTTAGTGCTGTCCTCGTCCCCAAACTTTGCACTTACTCCCTGCTTCTGCTCGCCGCAGTGTGCTGCTTGCGCCTGGCCGCGCCATCTGGCTCGATCTAAGTGTACGGGCTGCTTCACGTTGCGGCTTTCTCTCCTCAGGCCGAGCATGGCCAGGCCGAGCCACCAAGTGGCGCGGGGGGGGAGACATTTTTCACAAGGGACTCGACTGCTGCCCTTACTGCCTACACCGACCCACAACACAGCACTCATGACTGCATCGCGAGACAGGCGGACGCAACATCCCGATCAAAAAAAATTGCATACGTCTATCACAAGATTGCCTCGTAAATGGGTGCCAGCACCATTGAGGAAATGATCCTGATCGTCCCAGGTCCAGTTTTCGCAAGGGACATACTGCTCCAAACTGGAGCTGAAGGGCTGAACAAATCGCATGCCAAACACCAACCCCTGAAACTGCCGCCGTGGCGGCTGATTGTCTCCGGCACGGTGCATGTCCTTAGCGACGAATTTGAGGACAGTCTTCTTGACTGCGGCTGCTCTAGTACAACGCATTGATTTCGATGCACGCATATGCATGCAAGCTCAGTAACAAATGTCATTCATGCATCACCAAGGAGCAACCCAGTCCTGCAGGTGCACACGCTGCGAGTCAGGCAGGTCAGCGTAGTGGTTCCAGTGCAGCATGATGGTCTCAGCTTCTACAGCCAGGACAGACAGAATGCGCCACCACGCTCACTGTCTTGGGCATCTGTCAGCTATTTCTATATCAGGAATCCGAGAAGAAAAGCTCGTGCAAAATGTCCACACCGAGCAGTTGCCTGGGCAACACGTCTTGGGCATGGCAGCATGGCTGCCAGAAGCGCTGCTTTCGGTCTGATCGCATCAGCGTTACGCCCACAAGGCTTGCCCTGCCAGCTCACGGCTGCTGCTCATCAGCGGAGCTTCTCTCCTAGATGCATCTGGCACATCTACCATCTCGACACAAGTTTCTGCTGGTGGATTCGGCAGCCTCTTGCATCAGCTGATGGCCTAGCACCGAAAATTCATCATTGAAGGCACGGCTCGTTTGCGATCGGAGGTGTTGGCGCACCCAAACCTCCAAAATCCAGCAAAGCAGACAGGGTGTCGGATAAAAATCGAATGTGCTCAAAGCAGTCATCCAAACTGATAAGTAAGCCGAGCTGAGCCATACTACTTTGGTGACTGCAGAACTCGAAACGGAAGGACTGCCTCCGCCAAGCTCCACGTAATGCGGTCCAGGCACCTTTAATTTCTCAGGAAAGCAGTAGCCATCTGGCCCATCAGCAGAAACTGCTGTTGCACAACCCAACTCACGCAAACTTGAACATGCCGAACGGACATGCCGGCTCCTTTATGCCAAGATTCTGCAAGTCCCAAGGAAGAGCGATCTCCGAGAAGGCAAAACACAATGCTGCCATCACCCCAGTGTTCACAAAGCCTTGGTCTGCCAAACTAGTTGGCAAAAAAAGTATGAAACCATCGGCACCTGAAGCAAGAGCCCAGACGACGCCAGATCAAACGCCAGTTCTGCAACTTCAGAAATCATGGTTCGAGTCCTGCTTCTAGCAACACACACGAGAAGCTGCAATCATGAAATAGCTTGTGCAGCCCAAGAGCGGATCGAGTTCAAGTACTCCATTCGCAATATCTTCGCAAGCGAGAAGTCCTCGCTCAAGTACCTGAGCTGCTCGAGATGGCAGTCTGCTCTACCCATCACTCACAGCGTGTTGCATCGCGCTCGCGCACGCGCGAGCGTTCAACCTCCCCAACACCGGAGAGAGGGAATAATCAAGCTTCCCAGGAGCACGAAGGTCCCCGTCACAAGCGTGCAGACCGTTTAGAGTTTAGGCTTTTGCAAATTCGTTCCTGGCGCCCATGGCCGCTGAAGGTGGGAAGAGTGAAGAGGAGCATGTTGTGGAACTATGTGGCACTCACCATGGCGAGCATTGCTTAACCAGCTGTGCCTACGTGTCGATGACCGTACGTGTTTCACGTTCACAGACGGTGAGCGGTCATTGGGGTCACTGGCTGATTGGGCATGGACTGCTGACTTCATACAATCTCTCGTCAAGCAGCAGGCCCATCTGCTCGGCAGAAAGCCTGAAAATTGCGCATCGACTGCGAGGACTCCAGCTCATCTTGTTGACGCAAGTAAAACTGGGAAAGCTGCATTGTCTGCTGTCATGACATTTGATGAGCACGGGGCCGATTCATTCGCCAGTAATCGACCATACAAGTGGGGCGATCGCGCACAGTGCCAGACGCCTTGCAAGGGAGCTGCATGCTACCAATCAGGTCTGCACGGCTCCCGTGTGCAACGGAAACCATCCAGCCAGCGCACTCTGCATTGATCTGAGCTTCCTGCTACAAGGAATGCCAATCCCCGCCCAGCTTGTGAGTTGAAACAGCACTGCGCAATGCCTTTGTCAAGCGGGCTTTCGCACGGTGAGTGTGGCTCGCTAAGTGCCGGCAACTCCAGCTCTGCCCAGAACCCTGAGACTGAGGACTAACTGAAGCTTCCCACAAACTGTCTATTCATCTGAAGCTCGATCACAAAGGGCAAGGAAATCGTTGTCTCTGGCTCCAGCCGGAATCAGCGGCTCTCGCGGGACAAAAAAAGGTTCGTAGCCTCAGCTTCAAGCTGTTTCTGAATGCAGGATCCAAGCCTGCATGCTGAACTTTAGTGCTGTAGAATCGTGACCTTCTGGCAAGGATACCTTCTTGCAACCTTCCCGCCCTCTTGTGGACAGTGGAGCTACGTATTGTCTCGCCATCTGGATCACCTGCCCAGATTGCAAGGGCGTTGGTTTGCTGTGGTTCTTGCCTAGCTACCACATGAAACCGCAGGCCTTGAGACTCGTGCAAGGGCGTGTCTGCCATGTCTGCAGCGGTAGGTATGTGTTTTTCCAGGGCTGCAGGCCCACCAGTCACACCAGGAACGTCCTGCGAAGCGCATCTCCATCTGCATGCTAATTAGGATTCTGCGTCGTACTTCACACGGTTTGCAACCTGGAAAAATCAACGACTCAAAAGGATAGATCTTGCAGGCTAGCGTGGCAGAACTTGGCAGAGGAGACGGACGACTCCAACACGCCTCTTGGAATGCCCCTTCGAATTGAAATGTTCTCATGACTGGCTCTGACAGGGCCTGTTGTAGAAGGCTATGGCCTATGGCACCATTTGATCTGGCCCCATGCTCTGCCAAATTTTCAACACAATGTGCAGAAACCGCACAGGGGAGTGTCTGAATGCATTTAAGGCAAAGCTGCTGAAGAGCCCCGCTCTCTTTCAACGATTCAGCTTCTTAGTCTGTCCAAAATCCTGCGTTCTGGTGCTCCAGAGACCCTGTCACCAGTTTTTGCACCGTTCAGGCATGATTCCCTTACATTCCTCCACTTCTCGCAGCCATGCCCGATACCAAAAAAAATGTCAGCTGTTGTGGAGGATAAGGCTGTGAGCATCCAGAGTTCTCACGCCTCCGGGACTTCGCCCACAAGAGAGTGGCAGCGTGTCCTCTCTGCACAGCATCAGGAGCGACTTTGTCGCCGAGTCCTGGAGCTTCTTGGGGAAGTGGTGTGAGAGCTGTTCAGGACTTTCTTGGACAACTTTCGGGGGGCTTAGGCTAAGGCTTAGGCATGGATTTGTGATGACCTGTGTTGCATGATGGCGGCAGCGTGAATGTCGTATGTCACGCTGGCCTGCCTGGCTGCCTGCCTGCCTCCTTAGCGTTTGGTCATGAAGTGATGAAGGCAGAGCGGTCCACGCAAAGCTCCAGTGCAACTTGTCCACTTTTGTTCCGTGCTGCAGCATCAGCATGAGACCGTAGAAGCGCCTCAGTTTCTCCCGCCTTTCGTCTTCAAACGAGTGCTCGACGACCACATAGCGACGGACGTGCTCAGCGTCTCGCAGCACAACAGCAAAGCCTTTTCTGAAGCTTGCCTCAAAGTCACGGCTGCAACCGCTTGGCGTCCATTGCATGCGGCAACATGTAGCGGCGTCCATCCGGAAGCATCGGCGATGTTTACCGGCAGAGAACTGGCAGGGCAAGCAGCATGTATGCGCTCACCCTTTGCTATGCATGTGTGCGTGTACCTCTAAGTTTAGAAATTTACATAACTGGCTAGCTAGATAGATAACTAGATTCATGAAGATTGAATAAGATTTTACTCGAATTTCAAGACCGGGAAAAATCTGGAAAATAAATTTTGACAAATAGGGAAGCCTTTGGACCTGGGATGTAGGTACGAGATCTTAGGTTTAGACGCTAAAAACGCTTCCAGATCCTAACTTTTTCTCTTTCTGCTCAAAATGAATAGTTGCAACCACCTCTTCGTAGGCCTGTCGACACATCAGGATAAATAGATCGATGGATATATAAAGATCGACCGACCGATCGATAGATCGATAAATGGAAAGACATACAGATAGATCTGCACATGTCTCTGCACTTGTATATCAAGTTCCCAATCAAACAATATCACTCCGTCAACTGCAAAAATTTGCTGAACGGTTTGACTTTGCCCGCGCCTCTCAGTCGCAGGTATGTCCAGCAAAGCTTGCACAACCCGCAAGCTTCCCTTGCGGCAAGCGGCATGCAGCCCTGTCGTGCCATTACCTCAGCGACTCTCGAGCTGAAGACCCTGCCGCTACATCCGGGTTGTGTTCTTCTTGCACGGAAGGGGCCCAGGCCCTGCCTATTCCGGGTCACGGGTTTCGGGTTCCGGTTCCAGTCCGGGTTCCGAATCAAATCCCAAGTTCCAGGTCCCGGGTTCCGGGGTCCCGGTGCCGTCGGGTTCGGGTCCTCCCGGTTCCGGGTTCCGGGTCCCGACTGCTGCTGCTGTTGCTGCTGCTGCCGTTGTTGTTGCTGTTGCTGATGTTGTTGATGTTGATGTTGCTGTTGCTGTTGCTATTGCTAGGATCATGTTCCGGGTCCCGGTTTCCGGGGGTGGCTGGAGACGAGAAAAGCGATATTATAGGGTTGTATGCCACCTTGCTGCTTAATTAATCCGGAAGCACTTGGTGAACGCAAACGCGGCTGAGTTGGGCGTGACAACGTGTGGGTCTTGTAAACAGCAACAAAGTGGAGAAAGTAACAACCTCTCGTGTTCGAAACGCCTGACCAGAACATAAGATCAAGTCACTTGTCCTCTCGAAAGCCTAAGTGGGGCAAGCAACAATCTCTCGCACCAGCATCCGCCCCGAATCGCAAAAGCCATCGAACAGCGGCCGACTGCCCCTTCGAGCAGAACAGCAGCAGCTGCTGATCTACCTGCGGTGCCGGAGTCGGCATGATATGGCATGTGCCAGAACGAAATACTCGTTCGAACATGACGAAATGTGCGGACTCCTACACAACCGCTTGTATGCCGCAGCTTGAAACATGTGAAAAGTTTCTACTTGAAGATGGTGCTTGGGGGCCGTGCAATGCCTCGCACGCACATTAAAAGAACGTCAGAATATCAACAAGAACAGGCGCGACCTGGGCGTGACTAGCCCGCAACACCAAACAAGGCCACCATACATGATACAGTGACGCGCCTCGTTCAACCCGGCTAAAGTCTCTGCGAATATAGCGCCTGCCGGGGGAGCTCCTCAACAACACCGGCGGATAGCAAGGTTCAAGCATCTCAGATGTCTCAGATAAGTAAACCCAAATAATCGTGCAGAACTGGTGCACGTCCTGCAGCATCTGGATGTTCCCGCGGCTTGCAATCCAACGACCTGGAACCAACTTGCCACTATGGTGTGTAAAGGATAACAGCCGAAGATCAGCGCAACGGGAGGCATTGCGTTGTTGTTATTCGTTTTGTCTTTGGACGTGTGGCTGCACGGACCTGCATTTCTCGACGTCGCTGCGGCCACAGAATCCAATGTTTCCTGAATGCAGGCATGACCCACCATGTAGTCGTAATGGCACTTCAAACGGGTCTCGGCAACCATAGGCTTGATGGACTGCCTTCAACAATGCTGTGTGCACAACGAGCCTCCCATCTAAATTTTCCACCATATCGCGGGGCAATCCATCGACAAACTAGAACTTGTAAGTGCTGTGATTGCTCTTCTTGGTGTTGGTGGTCATGACATGCCCGAAGCAAGCCAGTTCGCCAACTAAAACGAAAGTTCATGTTCACCGTCGTGCGGGCTGCACAGTTACGCTTGGGCCGCCAATTTGGCAAGCGAAGACAAAATGTGCACGAGAATGGCATGGCATGGCATGGCATGGCATGGCATCGACACGCACATCAAAAGCACCTCTGTAATGCTTTGAGTGTTGCTGTCCGTGCCCTCGTGAGCTTCCAGCACCTCGCAAGCCTCCGCGCCAGCGGAGTATCGACAATTTTCCCACGTGATGTTGAAGTTGAAAAAGGCTCTGCCTGACATGCCACGGCTTCCAATATCTCGTCGTCCACGGAGCCAGCTGCCAAAAGGACGAAAGCGCACTAAAATCTTTATGGGACTTCCACCTGCCACGTAAACTGTTCATGACAAAGCTATTGCTGTCAACAGCAACAACTGCATAACGACTGCCCGAAGGCCTCCATGACGCTCGAGGGCCTGCGCACGACATTGAGGTCTGTCAAGCTCTCACCACTATCAGACGGCGCACCGTGATGATTTTCCGAAGGAAAACCTAGCGAGTGCATGCAAACCGTTGAGTCTTTTGCAACATTCCTTTTCAGCATTGACATACATGATGTCTGCCCTGGGGCCGGAGGCCTCGCTTGTCGCCGCGTGCCGAACAAAGTCGCGCATTACCCGGGACTCGGACTCCCGCGGAGGCAGTGTTTTTCCTCACTGCCACGGGTGCCTGAGCTTCGAAGCCCTGTACACCCTGCACAGAGCTAGGACTAGCTACCAAGCCAGCACGCCGCCCTGAAGAAGGGCGCCGCGCCGGCCAGCACGAGCGGACCGGGACACAGGCGTGGCGTCACAGCACAAACCCTCCCCATGGAGCGGGGTGCACGCGAAGCATGCATCGAAGTGGGATTGGAAAGCGGCAGTTGCGTTTAAAGCTTGTCGGGCGGATCCTGCGTCGCGCATGCTTGCCCGCCGGGGATAGCATTGATTACCCTTGGACAAGGATGCTGGCGGTGGCGGTCCAGCAGCATGCGTACATCATGTCGCTCTTGGAACTGCCGCTGGCGCGCTGCGAAGGGCGACGGTGCCCTGCCGCCGCTGGGCGACCTGCAAGCACAGCGCCAATTATCGCTGGCAGGCGCCAGCACGGCTCGGCCGAGCAGATCTAGCTGCTTCTATAACTTTGAGTAAGGCACGCTGTCCCAGCTTAGGGCCGCAGCGGCAGGCGACTGGGCCCTTCGTTTGAAGCAAGGTCGAGGACACGGTCCAAAAAAGGGCCGTCCTTCGGCCCTTGCTGTGGAGCTGCGGGCCAGGGGGAGCCAAGCGCACTACTCGCAATGGCGAGCTGGATCGCAACGGAAAAAGCGCCCCACCGTTGCGACTCCTCATTCCACTGTCCGCCTATCTCCGAGCCGAGGACCAACAGTCTCTGTGGACCCCGTGCGAGCTCGGGACACGTGGACCTTTTGCGGCGCTCGGCGACCTTCAACACCGCCCCATCAACCTCGACGGTGCAAGGCTGCGGGTGACCAATACGTGTAAAGGGTGACACCAGGGTTGCATCTCAGCAAAGCGCGCCTCCGCGGGCAGTGGCGCCATAGACCAGTCTGCTCCGCCCGTTGCCAGACCCATACGCCGTGTGCAGGTACCGCTTCCATAAGAAGGAGCGGCGCTTCCGCCACTTCGAAGCCCCAGGCGTCATATATAGGTTTACGTGTTTACGTTCTTGTTCCGAACACTCATTGCACTTCTCGATATGCGTGCTCTCAGGATGTAGGATCCAGTCCAAGTGGCGGTGGGGGGACGGTTCCAGTAGCGCGGGGCGGGGAGTCGGCTCGCAGGCACTAGCTCGGTGTCACGAACGTCCGCCAGCAGGTCACTCAAAGGTGGCTCCGTGCCGTCGCATGCGTCCGCTCCCGGCACGGGCCCCACCTGCGAAGTGTGCTTGCAAGCAAAGATGTGCCGTGCTCCAGCGTCCTGCAAAAGCAGCAGTCTGTGGAAGCTGACAAGAAGACAGCCCGAGTACACGGGGAAAGCTGCATGATTACGCATCCGGATACCCGGCAGCACGTGCGTTGCGCACCAAGCAAGCTTCCGAAACTGCTGCCGCTTTCGACGACATGTACCGGAACCAATCGGTGTCATCAGTCCGGACGGACAACGGTGGTGAATTCCAGGGCGAGTTTGCCGCAAAGCTCAAAGAACGGTGAATTAGACATGAACGCTCCTTGCCATGTCGGCCGCAGACAAAATCCCGTGCTGAGCATTCCACCGGACAGTTGCAGAAGGCTTGACAAGGCTCAAGTGCTCGAGCTCGCCC